TTAATGGATATCTCCATGGAAAAAAGTAGCAAATTGATTCCTTAAGGGAAATGAAGTGCACGTGGATTAAAACTTTATCAACCACTTCACAAACATTTTGTCACAAGTTTATCTTTTCCTGAAAAATAAGCATTTAGCTACCACTGCTATTACAGCCAGGAGCATATAACTATAGTTCTTGATGTAGGGCTCAGTAATTAGGATTGTTGAGATCACATGTGAAAGAATGACAGCAGTTTTCCTTGCCTCATAGGGTAAATTATTGTTGAGATTTTTGCCACTTCATAGAATTCTGCCACTGAACACAAGAAAGATCTGAAACAGCAATACAGACAAAAACTGAGCTGGCCATCAGCAAAGCTGACTCTCCTCTTGGCATACAGGTCATAGCACAAGTTCTACCACAACACAACCGAAGAGGATGCACTTAGGTTTTGAAAATAATGTTTTCCTAACATTAGTATCAGCAGCCTTTTCTTCATCTTCCCGAACCTTGAAAAGCAATGAAAAAAGAAAAGGAAAAAACACAGATACATAGATTATATCAGAACAGACACAGTGATCTGTGGGAGGAAAACCTTATTTCTGTAAAAATAGCCACCTCAGAACAAAAACTATGGACACATCTGAGTATCCAACAAAGCATAAGTACAGAACTCTTATTTGCATGTCTGCAATATATTAAACATTGGACATTTAATACCAAAATACTATCCCACATTTATATGCCACATAAAATGACTTGATGTCAACAGTTCTCAGACCTATCTGTCTGTCTTCAGAGCTGTGAAACCACCATCCATGCCCACACGCAGCCCACATGAGCAGAGTACATATCCTTCTCTTTCCTCCTCCATGCTATTACGTGCCTCAAAACATTAATTCCTGCATCTTATGATAAATTTTGTTGAAAAGTCTTCAGGCATGGCTGTCCCCTCACACTTCTTAAAAGTGCCAGGTGTCATGGGGCTCTCCTTAGGACTGCAGTCTGCAGTATAACGCAAATAACCTAGTAACAGTGCAGTAGGAATCAGTAACACTCAATCTCTTAGTGCTCTTACCTCTTTACCACCCATGGCTTCAAACATCTTTTCTAGCTGCACCCTCAGCTGTTGGATGTTATTCATCAGGATGCAGGGCTGAAGGGACAAAAGCAGGTACCTGTTAGTGCTCAGGAGGCCAACACATCTTCACCAGTGGTACAGTCTGTGACTCAACACCCTTTCCCAAGTACCACCAGATCTGAGAGTCCAGTGGGACATAGGGCATACACAGATTTCAGCACTCAATCCTAAAAGAGACAAGTCATTTTTTCTCCAGATTGAAATGGGATGGCTAGTTCCAAAAACCCCAGATCATGGAGATCTCTGCTGTTGTATTTTCCTGTGATATTTCCTATTTCCACAGCTTTATCACAGAGAACAAGCTGACAATAAATCAATGTCAGGACAAGGTCAACTCTCTGCAGGTCCTGCCATGCCCTGCGAGTGCCCAAGCTGTGTCCCCTTCAGCCTCTTAATGCTGCAATGTAGTATTGTGCATGGTGTACATCCCAGATCAGAAGGGGAACTGCCAGCCTAAGCTGCATTCAGAGACATATCTTGGTCCTGCCAGGCCAAGCTTGGGAGCAATTCAAGGGCAGCCTGAGCAATAGACCCTTCCCTCTGCAGCTACATTCCCAGTACAGGTGCAGGAGATAGCAGAACTGGCATGGGACAGACACAGGGTTCAAAAATGTAAGACCTTGTTTTCTTTAATACACAGAATTTTACTTAACTCAGAATTAAACAGCAAGATAATTAGATGGAGATAACAGTAAACCAAGAGTGCTGCTCAGTAACAGATCTACAGAGCAACTTGTGCCCAAGTTTTAGGTTTTCTTTTTTTAATCACCTCTGTGACACACAAACCAGACAGGCAGAGTAGAAGTTAATTTCAAGGGGACCTGACAGCCTCCAAGCCCTGCAGATCACCCTCAGGACCCAGTTTTATTTTATGGCTGAGACAGAATTCAATGCACAAAAGCATACAAATGATGACAAAAAACAATACTGAAAATATTTCCACCATCAACATGGTCAGGTGCAATGCAAGAAAGTTGTTTTTATGAGGACAATTATGTGATTCCTCAGGGCAGAAGAGAAGCACAGCATGACTCACCAGTTTCTCCTTGGAACAGTAGGACTGGAAGCTCTTGGAGACGATGTCAGCATACTGCATCAGCACTTTCCCAATAGTCTGCCAAGACAAGATGTGAGCATCATTACTTGTCCTCTATCGCTCCTGGAGAACTCCAGTCAATAAAATTGAAAAAAAATCATACTGTTTTGCATCCCACTAAGGGAAGATAAACAGATGGATGTTGAGGATGTTACCTTAGCAAACCTCCTGTTATAATGAGCAACAATGACAGGGTCTGGGCACTCCAGCTTCTTAATGATCTCAAAGCTCTGATTGAGCTGGGTGAAGACGTCCACCACTGAGCAAGAGAACAGAGCATGCTCGGATGTTTGCTGGAACTAAAACAGAAGTACAAAGAGTCATTCTCAAATTGAAAGATCTGAAATACATCTATTTCATGGGTGTCTCCATCATCTGCCATACTTGAGGCAAGACAACTTTACCAAAACTTACATCTTTCTCAAAATTAGTCAAAAACTCTCCAAAAGGCTCAGAGGAGCTAAATAGCCAATTCTGTTCAGTTATAAGTTTACTGTCCTTCACCAACAATTAATGACAAGCACCAATTAATGAAATGCATGTCTTGCCTGTCAGTTAATGAAGAAAGAAGGAGAAAGTGAGGACCTTTTTTTAGATTTTTCTTAAAATTGTAGATATTAAAGAGAATGCTTACACAGCATCACAAACTACAGCGCAAACAGCCACTGAACAAATGGGAAGGCTCTTGCTCTCCATCAGGAATACGCATCAAATCAAGAATAAGATTACTCTGTCAGTGGATTAAGGTCACATTCTCACTGCATGACTAAGTATGTGCAAAGTGCCTTAGATTTCAATAACCTCTCACAAACACAGAGAGGTGAGAGAGTACCAAGCCATGGCTGACTGATTAACTGTGTCAGAACAGAAAAGACATAAATTAATGATATGCACCTTGCTATTAAACAGCTCTCTGTGACCTGTAGAGAAAAGTCCTTAAAAAAGCAAGTTTCCCAGTTGTTTAGCAAGCAAAAAGGGCTGCATCCTCCATTTGTATGACAGCTGAATTTACAGTGTCGTTGTTTGGTTCTGGGCACTGAAAGATGTAGCACCAAGTCCTCCACTCAGAGTGACCTACATACCCCATCTTTTTTGTCTCTCTCCAGAGCACCGTGCAAGAATTCTAAGGAAACATCTTCATTTTCATCCAGCCACTGCATCACAAACTGCTCAAACCACCTGCGAGAGGGACAGGAAAGACAGCAAGTTACAGCAAGAAACAGAGCATCCCAACAAGACTCAGACAGTGCTGCTGTTTCAGCAAGCATTGTGAAATTCAGATATCTGAATGCTGTTATCTGCGTGTGCAACCAAAGTTCCTCAAAATACTCTGACCTGTACACAAGTTACCAGTGAGCAGGGTCTGTACCATCACTTGGACTGGACAAGCAGAACACAGCCTCGTCCAGCTTCTGCAGATTGTTGGTCCTGCACTGGTTTTGTCCTTCTCCCCTGGTCTTTCCACTTTCTTCATACCTTCCCCTTTTTTCCCCTTGAGTACCAGCTTTGACTTTACATCATCTCAGAGTATTTTTCTTTTCTTCCCCTTTCATCCATGTGCCAGATAGGGCAAGAGAGACCTCCAATACTACTTTCTTTGCACACTAAGAGAGACAGCAAACTGTTCTGCTGCCCATTTGGGTCTACCATGTTTCACGTGAGAGCTGCAAATGAGTATAAAAGGAGGAAAAGAAGCGCCTGTTTTCCAGGGCCCTTCAGCCCATTTACCTGCAGATAAAGACATATTTCTGGAGTGCCAGGATGAAGAATCAAGGCTAGAAGTTTTCTCTACTTTAATACTGCTCTTCCTTTCCCCAAGCCTTCTCTAGAACACCCTCCCACTTCTATGGGATGCTGATCTCACTGTGAAGATGCTTGAGTAAGATTAACTTTTGGTGATGGCACATCTGCTAGGGCTTGCAGGAAGCCAGCCAGCCCTGTAAGTGGGCTCTTCCTTGTTTTCTTTTAAAGAAGCACAAACTTAGAATGCTGGACCAAAAGCCTTGGAACATGGTCAAGTCTCCAAACCAGACAGGTCCCAGAAGCAGGACAGCAAGGTTTGTCTCTGTTCCTTCTCCTCAATTAGGAGAATAAGCTAAATGGTAGAGCAGATTCCAAGAAGTTGCTGAAACAGCCACTGCTGTATCTCAGGGAGATGCCTTACATGAGGTGGTGCTTGGAGTTACCTCCTGCACTGAACAAACGGCTCCTACACAACCCCACCTTGGCCAAATAGGCAAGGTGAAAAGTTGCTTTAGTGATGGTATCTTACAGCTGGTCATCCCTCTGTTCTCTGCTTGGTGGGATGTATCCACACAGAACAAATGTAGGGGCAGGTTTGTCTGTCTTTAAGCAACAACATAGTACTTACGGCTTTATTTAAATGTCTGTCTGCGATCTGTTCTGTGCAAGTGCCAACATACCACAGCTGAAGCAAATCTTAATTTCAAATATTGCTAAACAGCATTCACAAATAAGGAAAAAAAACTGCCCATGTGTGATTTCAGTCCATACAAAAGGTTATTATATCAGCTTCACAGAGAACAGCCTCCTCTAAACAGGCAGCTGTGTTCATAGTGATTGTGCTATTGATAGGCTGAGTTTGCAAAGAACACGAAGGCATGTGCCAGACATGAGAGGGAGATCAAGAGCAAATTCACAGACAGAGCGTACCAGATAGCCTTAAATAATCTCTACACTTTGAAATATAAAGCCCATCAATGTTAGTATTGGAAATTGTAACTGACACAGTGTTAAACGCCAACAGCAACCTGTCTAGGCAGCCCTATTTAATACAGACAGTAGTGGTGGAACATTGTCACAGACATATGGACTTCCAGTGTTCTGGAAAAATTCCTTTTGAATGGCACTTCAGGATCCTAAAAGACAGCATATTTCAGTCTACTGCAAATTTCTTGAGCTTTCCACATTTTATTATTAATTATAATAGCATATTTTAAAGCAACAGCTCAATCCTTAGAAGACAACTTGAGTAGTTTACAAGGAAACAACTACACATCTTCCACGTCTTTCACAGTTCCCAGGCTGCAAATGATGACTGCTTCACATGTCATAGATCCATGTACAGGGAGAATTACTTGTTTGTGTCAGAAGCCACAATTTTCACTCTGAGAAGTAGAACTATTTCCTGATTATCATTCACCCTTAGTTATTGCACCGTATCCATAAGAAAGGGATAATAGAATCATAGAATCACAGACTGGTTTGGGTTGGAAGGGAGCTTAAAGATCATCCAGTTCCAACCCCCCTGCCATCAGCAGGGACACTTTCCACTAGACCAGGCTGCTCAAAGCCTCATCCAGTCTGGCCTTGAACACTTCCAGGGAGGAGCATCTACAGCTTCTCTGGGCAACCTGTTCCAGTGTCTGACCACCCTCACAGTGAAGAATTTCTTCCTAATATCTAATCTAAACCTCCCCTCTTTCAGCTTAAACCCATTTCCCTTTGTTTTGTCATTAACTGCCCTTATTAAAAGTCCCTCCCAGGGACTTTAAAAATTGTTTAAATTGTCCAAATTGCTTAAACAAAGGTAGTAAGGAAAAAGGTACTATTGGGGGGGGAGGGGGAGGGGAATTGCCACCATCTCCCCAAATGAAAAAAATGCATTACCTACAGAAAGAGGTTTAATATGAATAACTGCAAAGTGAATCACTTGGATCAGGTCAGGAAATTCTGTAACTACATTTGCAAAGTCAGCCTCAACTTTCTCTCTTATTGGCTGGCAGGAAAACACAAGAGAGATAAATCATTTAATAAATACTTCCAGTCCCTGGGCACATTCAGGACCACAATGTGCTTTGATCTGTAACACAAACCTAGAGTTATCTTAGGCCAAATACCCCTTTAACAGGGTTTTACTAGCAGGTCTTGGGCTACTAAGCAAGTCGGGGGGACTCTGAAGACTACAAAGGCAACGTATCCAAAATGATATTCAAAATTATCTAGCCCAGAAACTAATAAAAATAATCTGATTTCACACAGAAATAGCTTCAAAATATTGCTATATGGCAAATATCTTCTTCCTTGCCTGCTTCAATTATTGATTGAGAAGCAAACACTGCAATGACTCACGCACCAGCACACAAGGCAGAGGCTCACGGTGTTGCTTCAGAGACATTCAGTGCTTGCAGGGGTCAGCACAGCCTGACTCGAGACGGCACAGCCAACCTCTCCAAATGAGGTCTGCACAGAATATGCCTCAATCCTGCCTGCCAGGAAAAGGCATGTGGTGCTTTGTGACTAAATGAAAGTTTACCTCTGTTGGTTGCACAACAGTAAGGTAACACAAAAGGCTGCAATTTCAGCTTGGCCATGAGCCTGGCTCATCTGGTCTCAAACTTTACAGGTGATTTAATCTTGTTCATTTGCTGTGTTGATGCATGTGGGTACCCAATGAACATCCTGTGGGTCTTGGCAAGCACAGAGGCAAGACAGCAGCCAGGGTTTCAAAGAATAAAAGAATAAACACCATGTTTGATGAAGTAAGCCAGAAGAATAGGACAGGGTTTCAAAGGAAGGAATGCACTCCTCCACCAGAGAAGAGGTAGTCTCCAGTACTGCTATAATACTAGCTGCATGCTAACATCAGTTTTAAAGCAAAACATAGACCACTTCTTTACACATCTAAAAAGCTAGGGGTTGTTGGAAACTGACATTTCACAGCTTTTAGCTGGCAGCTAAAAAGTGAAGAGAGGAAATTTTGAAGATCCACTCCCAGCTGTGTTGCTACTTCAGTTTCAGAAACTGCTGCCGAATTTCAGAAAATAAGGGGAGCATCAAAACTTCAGCTTCAGTACTTTAGAGCCTTCACTTTATTCAGTCATATCTCAAGGCTATCAGAAACATGGTTTCTCATAGTTTCAACACAAAAAGTAAGTTCATGGATAGTCTCTTGTCATTTGAGTAGACAGACAGCTAAGCTGGTCTCTGGACAGCAGCAATTCAGTTTCATCTAAAGAATTTACTGACGTACTAACCTCACGTGTGGACTCCTTTGTTTAAGAAAGCTTCTAGGCTAAAAATAGTTGTGATGAAACAATGAGAGCATATTGCTGTAATTGATACCAAGGGGATATTTTGTGACAGGTGAAGGTTATGGTTGAAATAAACATCACTTGTGTCTGACAACGCGGCTATTGTACTAAAGGAGAAGTGAAGTAACAAAGCCAGCGGCTGCATGAGCAATGAAGCTCTACCACAAAGACCAGCAGAGCAGAACAGTCTGCAAAAGATGGCAGAACGAAACTGAGCATCATTATCCTGATTACACAGGAGAAAAAGAGAGATTAAGAATATCTGATGGCTTGCCTGAGACTGCACTGACTCAGAGGCACAGCAAAGAGAAAAGGGCTTCCAAGACTGTCACTCCAGCACCCTGTTCACTGAGTTTATGCCGCTTGCTGACCTGATTTGTTAAGCAAGGCCCATAGTCCAAGCTGAGCAATTATGCCAACTGCCTCAAGTCTTATTAGTATGCAGCTAGCACCAGGCTTGAGGGACTGTGTGCACCACAGCATGGGAAGATAATTCAATATGCCAAACTGGAAACACAGTCCAAGCAAGATATTTTTTTTCAAGAGGGGTAAATGCAAAGTGCTGCATTTAGACAGCAATGAACAGTCATATATACAGGAGGGAAGAACATCTTGGACACTTGCTTGGATGGATGCCTGGAGGCTGATTTGTGGCCCACTGGAAGCATCACTAGTCAATAATGCCATTGAAGAAAAAAAATAAAATCTGCTATTATCCCAGCAGGCAAAACAGCAGCACTGCCTGGAAGGCAATGCAAGGCAACGTCTAGATGAAACATCAGTATTTAAGTCTGGGTGTTGTGTGTCCAGATGCAGACCAGCTGGAGAGAGGCAAGTAAACCTCACTTCAAAGGAAAGCTTGGAATAAACGGGAACCTGCAGGAGACTGGGAAGGGACATGAGAAAAGCATTTTACTCTTGTAAAACAGGAATAATTTGTTCTCCATGCCCAGGCTGGTAGGACAGGACATAATAAGCTCAAATGAAAGCAAGAAAGATTTGGAAGGAGAAGAAGGGGAGTGTGTTAAACCCCCAAAACCCAGTGGAGGGGTAACAGTGAAGCACAGGGAAAAGAGCTGCTTGAAGGATATGTGGAGCAACCATCACTGAAAGTCTCTGAAAACCAGTTAAACACTGGTCAGAAACAACACATCTGCTTTTGCCTTAGACCAAGCGTGGGACTCTAGCTACGGTACTCTCTCTCTAGGTTGCTCAGACAACTTTTTGGGCTCATAAATCTTCTTCAGGTCTGAAACCTATTCCTGCTCTCTTAAGGTAAAATAAAAGTTGCAAACAATTGCTTAGAGCTGAAGAGCGACTGCTTATCTGATGTTTCCAAATGAACCACCTGGTCTTACTAAAAAAAGAAAACATTATCTTTACTTATAAATCCTGTTGTGTGTGTATACATATGACATTCATATACACACATAGTACATACAGATAAAGTTGTATCTATTAACACAAGAATGTAAGCATACATCCAGAAGTCTGCTGTCCAAGAATTGACCAAAGCCTACACTGCAGGCACAAAGTGGCTTAAAGACTGTCCACGCCATTGTTAAAGGCTTTGAGATCTTGGGAGACACTGTGCAATAAAGGATTGAGTTGTGTCAGGGACAGTAGCACAGAACTACAGAGAGGACAAACATGCACATAAACACAAAAAGTCAGGAGTGAAGAAATGGTGTATCATGTAGGCAGCCACAGGAGAACCAAATTACTACCCTCAAGGTACCACCACGAGAGGCATAGTGGAGATTCACTACAGGAGACTAAGACACTCACGCTGGATATTCAGGCACTTTTCCCTTGAAGGCAGGCAGATCACGAACATATTCATTGTACAGCCACTTCACTTTGAAGTGTAAATTCATATAGTCTGCACTTTTACACAGTCTGTGCTTCTCATGCTCTGTAAGGAAGGAAAAAAAAGCAATTAGGTCTGAATTTACCACTATCACCGCATCAGGCGTGGGACGGTCTTATAAAGCATGTCTAGAGTATGCAAGGGTTTTGAGGCTGAAGCACCTATAAAGCCACAAAATCTTCATGACACAGGACTTTGGCAGCA